CTAATGAAGCTATCATTACAGAACAGAAAGAGAAACTAAGGACTCAATCCCATGTACAATTGCACCAAACACAATAAGATAGCTAGTAAGAGACCTAAACAAAGAGGTGAAAGACCTGTATTCTGAAAACTATTTAAACACTGATGAAAGAAATTGAAGATGACACCAAGAAATGGAAAGATATACCATGCTCATGGATCAAAAGAACAAATATTGCTAAATGTCTATACTACCCAAAGCAAGTTACACATTTAACTAAATCCCTAAAAAAAATACCAACAGCATTTTTCACAGAACTAAAACAAACAATTCTAAATTTTATATGGAACCATAAAAGACCCCAAATTCCCAAAGCAATCTTGAAAAAGAAAAACAGGGGCACTTGGGTGGCTCAGTCAGTGAAGCATCTCACTCTTGAGTTCAGATCAGGTCATGATCTCATGGTCATGGGATTGAGCCCTGCATCAGGCTGTGAGCTGACAGCACAGAGCCTACTTGGGAGTCTCTCTCTCCCTCTCTCTCTGCCCCTCACCCACTTCTGTATACGTGCTCTCTCTCTCACTCACTCACTCTCTCTCTCAAAATAAATAAATAAACATAAAAAGAGAAAGAAAAGCTGGAGGCATCACAACTCCACATTTCAAGTTATATTACAAAGCTGTAGTAATCAAAACAATATGGTACTGGTACAAATATTGATATGTAGATCAATAGAACAGAATAGAAAACCCAGTAATAAACCCACATCTATATAGTCAATTAATCTTTGACAAAGCAGGAAAGAATATCTGATGGGAAAAGGACAGTCCTTTCAACAAATGGTATTGGGAAAACGGCTCAGCTACACGAAAGAGAAAGAAACTGGACATTTCTTACACCATACATAAAAACAAATTTAAAATGGATTAAAGACCTAAATTTGAGTCCTAAAGCAATAAAAATCATAGAAGTGAACACAGGAAGTAACCTCTTTGACATCAGCTGTAGCAACCTTTTTTTCAGTAAGTCCCCTGAGGCAAGGGAAACAAAATAAAAAATAAACCATTGCAACTACATGAGAATAAAAAGCTTCTGCCCACCAAAGGAAACAGGCAACAAAACTAAAAGGCAACCTGTGGAATGGGAGAAGATAGTTGCAAATTACATATGTGATAAAGGGTTAGTATCCAAAGTGTATAAAGAACTTATAAAATGCAACATCCAAAAAACAAATAATCTAATTTTAAAATGGGTAGAAGGGGTGGGGCACCTGGGTGGCTCAGTAGGTGAAGCATCTGACTTCAGCTCAGGTCATGATCTCACAGTTTGTAGGTTCGAGCCTTGCATCAGGCTCTGTTCTGACAGGTCAGAGCCTGGAGCCTACTTTGGATTCTGTGTCTCCCTCTCTCTCTCTGGCCCTCACCTGCTCACACTCTGTCTCTCTCTCTCTTTCAAAACTAAATAAACATTTTTTAAAAATTAAAAATGGGAAGAAGACATAGACATTTCTTCAAAGAAGACATCCAGATGGTCAACAGACACATGAAAAGATGTTCATCATCACTTACCATCAGGGAAATGCAAATCAAACCTACAATGCGGTATCACCTCACACCTGTCAGAAAGGCTAAAATTAACAACACAAGAAACAACAGGTGTTGGCAAAGATGTAGAGTAAAAGAACACTCATGCACTGTTGGTGCAAATGAAAACTGAGGCAGCCACTCTGGAAAACAATATGAAGTTTTGTTTGTCAAAAAGTTAAAAATAGAACTAGCCTAAGATCCAGCATTTGCACTACTGGGTATTTAAGCAAAGAATACAAAAACACTAATTCAAGGAGCTATATGTACCCCTATAATTATAGCAGCATTGTTTACAATAGCCAAGATATGGAAGTAGCCCAAGTGTCCATAGATCGATGGATAAAGAAGAGGCATATATAATATATATATATTATTCATATATGCATTCATATATTTTTATGCTGAATAAAAAATATATATGTAATTCCATATAATGTATGGAATATATTATATATTTATTATATATTATATATGGAATATTATGTATTATATATGGAATATTATATATGGAATATTATTCAGCATAAAAATAATGAAATCTTGCCATTTTCGATAAGATAGAGGGAGCTAGGGAGTATAATGCTAAGTGAAATAAGACAGAGAAAGACAAATACCATATGATTTCACTCATATGTGGAATTTAAGAAACAAAACAAAAGGAAAAAAACTGGGTATTGTTTGGAAGTGTGGAATCATAATATTGTACACCTCAAACTAATATAATACTGTACGTTAACTAACTAGAATTAAAATAAAAACTTAAAAACCCAACATCTACAAATTAAATTTCCTGTCTTTTGTGGACACAGCTCATAGTGCCCCAAAACAATTACAAAGTAACATCAGAGATCTCTGATCATAACAATATATAATCATGAAAAATTTTTAAATATTGCAAAGTTACCAAATGTGACACAGAGACACAAAGTCATCAAATGCTCTTGGAAAAGCCAGGCTGATAGACTTATTTTACACAGAGCTGCAATAAACTTTCAATTTGTAAAAAAAATACATAAAAAGAAAAATATCTGACAAGCACAGTAAAGTAAGTCTAGTAAAATCAGGTATTCTTGTACAAATAAAGAGGTTAAATAAGTAATCAAAAATTTACCAACACAGAAAACTCAGGCTTAAATATTGAATTCTAATAAACACTTAAAGAAGAATTGACACCAATACTTAAAATCTTCCAAAAGGATTAAAGAAAAGGGAAAATTTCCAACTCTTTTGAAGGCCAGAATTATCCTGATATAAAAAAAAAATTACAGATAAATATCCCTAATAAACACAGATGCAAAATCTTCAACAAAATACTTAGCAACGTGAATTCAACAGCAAATTAAAAGGATCATACACAATGAGTAGGTGGGATTTATCCTCAGAATGCAAGGATTATTCAATATTAGTAAGTTGATTTATAAACACCACATTGATTGAAAAAGAAAAATTACATAACTATTTCAATAGTTGCAGAACAGATACTTGATGTAATTTAACACTTTTTCATCATTTAAAAAAATAGCAAAACTCTTGAAACTATGTATAAAAGAATTTATGTCAATACAATAAAAGCTATATATGAAAAGCCCATGGCTAACCTCTAAATTGTTGACTTTATGGGCATTGAATTGTTTGTTGTATTCTTATCTTTTTAATATTTGTAAAATCTGTAATAATGTCTTCTTTCTTATTCCTGATGTTGGTGGTATTTGGCTTCTCATTTATTTTTCTTGCTCAGTCTAGTTAAAGGTTTTCAACTTATTGATTTTCTGACATTTTTTCTGTTTTCATCAATTTCTGCTGTAGTATGATTTTTCCTTTCTTTTTATTGCTTTAGGGTAAATTTGTTCTTATTTGGCTAGTTTCTTAACATTGAAATTTATAATACTTGAGATTGTCGTTTTTTCTAACATACGTATCTTATGCTATTAATTTCCCTAGGTGGCTTAGTCGGTTGAGCATCCAACTTTGGCTCAGGTCATGATCTCATGGTTCGTGGGTTCGAGCCCCACATCGGGCTCTGTGCTGACAGCTCAGAGCCTGGAGCCTGCTTCAGTTTCTGTGTCTTCCTCTCTCTCTGCCCTTCCCCCACTCACTCACTCACTCTCTCAAAAATAAACATTAAAAATTTTTTTTAATTTCCCTCTAAGTAAAACTCCTGTGGCATTCCTATAGCTTTTTTTTTAATTGCAGTAAGATCGCTTAATGGATATCTACTCTTATAACAAGTTTTTGAATGTAATATAAAGTACTGTTACATATACTGTTAAATCTTCTGTTGTACAGCAGATCTCATCTTGCATGATTAAAACGTTATCCATTGAACAAGAACTCTTAATTCCTCCTTCTCCCCAACCATTGGCAAACATTTTACACTCTTCTTCTATGAGTTTGGTGAGGGGTTGTGATCAAGAAAAGGAAATGTCTTGGGGCACCTGGATGGCTCAGTCGGTTGAGTGTCCGACTTCAGCTCAGGTCATGATCTCATGGTCTGTGAGTTTGAGCCCTGCATTGGGCTCTGTGCTGACAGCTCAGAGCCTGGAGCCTGCTTCAGATTCTGTGTGTCCCTCTCTCTCTGCTCCTCCCCCGCTCATGCTGTCTCTCTCTCTATCTCTCTCTGTCAAAAATAAATAAACGTTAAAAAAATTTTTACAAGAAAGGGAAATGTCTAAGGCCCATGGGAATCAGACCACAATTTGAATAGAAAAGTGATTACATAGGATGTTTGTTTCAGAATTATCTATTAACCTGTTCATAAATGTTTTATGCATTTTTATATTATATATAATATAGTTTAAGGAAACTTGTTCTGTATTATTTCAAATGTATATTAATTATTATAAAAATTCAACATAAGGTCTGAGAGTACACTTACTAAACTTACAATAGTGGCTATTTTTGGAAAAAGAAAAGGCTCTAAGTACTTACATTTGGCTAAGTGGGTTTTCATTTCATCTGGATCGTTTAAATTTTTACAGAAATAAATTTACTTATAACTTGGGTAAGTGATTTTAAAAATGAGAATAGCCAACAAGTAAATAAATGGGGAAAATCTATTTGAAAAATTTATAGGAATCAACCTTATATATAGGATATCTATATCAATATTGATATAGATATATAAGGATATACCCTTATATAAAGGATTCAATGGTGAGAATCAGATGGATATGTCTGCATCCTAATCTATAAAACCAGTAAATTTAATCTTATTGGGAAAAAAAAGAGTGCTTGTATAAACAAGATCATCCTGGATTTTCTGGATACATCTTAGTTCAAACAACAAATGTCCTTAAAAGAGACATAAGGAGAGCAGAGAAGGCTATATAAAGGTGGAGGCAGATGGGAGTGATATAGCCAGAGGAAATGTCAGTAAAGAAGGTAAATTCCTTGAAAGAATAAAATCTTTTGTAATTAAAATAAGAAAACACTAACCTGGCTTCTTTGTTTATTTGATCACCGTATCCCACTGTTTTCACAACAGTTAATTTCAATTGAACATTACTTTCCTGAAGTTCATATGTCTGAATTTTAAGTCCAACATTTGAGTAAAAATGTGAGGATTTCTTGTCTTTCAAATTAGTATTGAATAATGTGTCGATGAGTGTTGATTTTCCAATTCCAGTTTCCCCTGTAATAAACATAGATACATTATCTAGGGACATAAAATGGCTAAGAAGAAGTAACGCTTAACCCAAATACATCAATGACTATAATGTCCTTTAAAGTATACATGTTTAGGGGCTCCTGAATGGCTCAGTTGGTTGAGTGTCCAACTTCAGTTCAGGTCATGATCTCACAGTTCATGGGTTCAAACCCCACACTGGAATATATGCTGACAGCTCAGAACCTGTAGCTTGCTTCAGATTCTGTCTCCTTCTCTCTCTGCCCCTTCCCCTGCTTATGTGTGTGCACTCTCTCTCTCTCTTTCAAAAATAAATAAATAAATAAAATGCATTTTAAAAATCTTGTGAATAAAAATGAGGTATACATGTTTCTCTTGACTCTCTCAGTCATTAATATAATATAGAAAAAATATACACGAAAACATATCAGATTTTGAAGAGCACTGAAACATCCAAAGAAAATAAAAGTCTAGGGGCACCTGGGTGGCTCAGTCACTTAAGCGTCCAACTTTTGGTTTCAGCTCAGGTCATGATCTCATGATTCATGGATTCTAGCCCCACATTGGCCTCTGTACTGACAGTGTGGAGCCTGCTTGAGATTCTCTCTCTCCATTTCTCTCTGTCCCCCCCTCACTCTGTCTCTCTCTCTCTCAAAAACAAATAAAAATTTATTTGTATAAAAAGTCTAAGTAATGTGACTAACATGATGGGAACAAATACAGATAGAAGGACATGGTCTTGAATTAGCAGCACCAGTGTTACACTACTTTAGATAAGTTGAAGTAAGCATTTGAGAAAATTAAGTACTAATTCAGATGAGGAATCGGGCACTTACCCACACAGAGAATATTAAAAGAAAATCCTTGTTGAATAGATTGGTTTACCAACTGATGAGGCAAACATTCAAAACCAAAATGACCAAGCATTGTTAAGCAACGGACACTATCTCCTCTTTGCTTAAAAACACAAAAATAAAACAATTAAAATTAGTAATATCATTTGAAAAAATAATTTTAATAATAGGTTTAAGAAATTAGAATTATCATTTGATTATCATAACTCAGACAAGATTTGAATTAAGTAAATTTGTGAACAAGTAAGTCTTGTCCAGACACATAGTTTTTGCTTTCAATTTTAAAAATAGTAAATCTGGAGGAGGGAGAGGAAGATGGCAGCAAAGTAGGAGGACCCTAGCCTCATCTTGTCTCTTGAACACAAATAGATAACTATAAAATCATCCTAAATACTCCAGAAATCAATCTGAAGACAGACAGATCAAACTCCACAACGAAGGGAGAGAAGAGGCCACATCAAAGAAAGTATGAAGTGCAGAGAAGTGGTATAGGGGAGAAAAAGATTATGGGTGCTTCAGAAAGGAGGGAGCCAGCATCAGAGAGAAGGGTGAGAAAGAGAGGAGCACAGAGGGGAACACCCAAGGAGAATATTTTACATAAGTCATTGGTTTGGAAAACTAGAGGGGCTGAATTTCATGAGTTCTTGCAACCAATGGTGCTTAAAGCCTGGAGTTTTAAAGGTGAGCTGGCTTGTCTGGGAGAGAGCCCCAAGGGCATTTTTCTGCTCCTGGATATAAGGCAGGCAAACAACCCAGGGGCAGATCCCATGGAAACAGAACTCCAAAGAATGCCTGGTCACACAGTGGGGAAAGTATTTGCTCTTCTCTGAGCACATACCAAAGAGACATCATTCACAGATGCCTCTGTGGGAACATAAGAGCTACCTGGCACCATTTCAGTCCCCTGCCCCTCAGCATAAACAAAGAGCCACCTGTGGAAGCAGTGCAGTGCCCACACTAACTTGCTTGCACAAAGCCCACTCCCTGCACTCTGATAAAACTGCCCTTCTCATTCAAGCTCGCCTCAAGCACAATGGGGTGGACCCCTCCCTTAGAAGGCAAGCACAAACCCCTGTCCACATCATGTCTCCTGACCAGAGAATTTTATGGGCACTTAGTTCTGGTGGAGGTAGTGTCAGGTCTCATTTCATAAGCAGACCAGAACACATCTAATTAAAACTCACAACATTTAGGCCAGGGACCAAACAATGCCCACAACAGGCAAGGAGAACCTCTGCAGATGACTGGCCTGAAGGATAGAGCAGCCAAAACACAATAGCAGAGTGCATGCAGCACACATCCAGACACTTACTGAAATGACAGGCTGGGGATGTTACATGATCTCTTCTTCATAAGGCCATTATTTCAGAATAGAGACATAGCTGGCTTTTCTAACAGAGAGAAGGCAGAGACATAAACAAAATGCAAAGATGGAGTGATTGATCACAAATGAAAGAACAAAATAAGGCCATGGCCAGTGAAACAGATATAAGTAACATGTCTGATGGAAAATTTAAAGCAACCATCATAAGAATACTATCAGGGCTTGAGAAAAGAATGGAAGACATCAGACACCCTTACCACAGATATAAAAGACTTAAAACGAATCAGTCAGAGATAAAGAATACAATGAACGATGTTAGAAACAGGCCTGATGCAATGAACAGTAGGGTGGAAGAAGCAGAGGAATGAATTAGTGACACAGAAGACAAAATAATGGAGAAGATGGCAGCAAAGTAGGAGGACCATAGGCTTGTCTCATCCCTTGAACACAATTAGATAGCTATCAAATCGTTCTAAATAATCCAGAAATCAACCTGAAGACTGGCAGAACAAGCTCCATAACTAAAGGGAGAGAAAGAAGCCACATCAAAGAATGTAGGAAGTGTGGAGACATGGTTTAATGGAGAAACGCTGCAGAGAAGTGCTGCAGAGGGGAAGCAGCTGTGTTCACAGGAAAAAGCAAGAGAGAGTGAGCACACAAGGGAAAGAACACACAAGGAGAACATTTCCCCTAAAGCCATTGGCTGGAAAAACAAGAGGGGTTGATTTTTTGTGAGTTCTTGCAACCAGCAGCGTTTAAAGATGAGTTTTAAAGGTCCACAGGCTTTGCTGGGATTGAGCCCTGAAGACACTGATTTATTCCTAGAGATAAGGCAGGCAAACAACTGGGGGGTGGGGGGAGGAGACGGTGAGGGGAATGGGGAGGCAGAAGGCATGGGATCAGTAATCTGAAGAATGCCTGGGGCACACAGTGGGGGAGATTATTTGCTGCTCATGGAGTGCATCTCTGAGAGCCAGCATTCACAGAGTTGACTCTCTGGGGACAAAGGAGCCAGCTGGTGCTATTTCCATCTTCAGCGCCTCAGCATATACACAGAGCCACCTGCTGGAAATAGCACAGCACTGACACTGGCTGCCTAATTTGCTTATACCAAGTCTCACCCTCTGTGCTCTGGTGCAACTGCCCTTCTCAGTCAAACTTGTCTCAGTCCCAGTGAAGTTGGCTCCTCCCCAAGAAGACTACTACAAGCATTTGCCCACACCGTGTCCCTAAAGCCTGGAGGTTTTTTTTTTTTTAATTTTTTTTAACGTTTATTTATTTTTGAGACAGAGAGAGACAGGCATGAATGGGGGAGGGTCAGAGAGAGGGAGACACAGAATCTGAAACAGGCTCCAAGCTCTGAGCTGTCAGCACAGAGCCCGATGTGGGGCTCGAACTCATGGACCGTGAAATCATGACCTGAGCCAGTCGGCCGCTTAACCGACTGAGTCACCCAGGCACCCCTAGCCTGGGGTTTTAAAAGTCAGCAGGCTTGGCTGGGAGAGATCCCAGAGGGCACTGTGCTGCTCCCGGATAAAAGGTAAGCAATAATCCAGAAGCAGAGAGTCTGGACACAGACATCCCAAAAATGCCTGGGTCAAACATGGAGAGATTATTTGCTCTTCTTGGAGTGCTTCTCTGAGAGGCAGCATTCAAGGAGTCACCTCTACAGGAACAAAGGAGACAGCTTATGTCAGTTCCCTCCTTCAACCCTCATATAAACATAGACACACCTGCAGTAAGCAGGCAGTACCAAGACTGGCTGCCTAACCTACCTGCACTAAATCCCACACCCCTACACTCTGGCACAACTGCCCTTCTCAGTCAAGCTTACCTCGGTACCAGCACAGCAGGCCCCTTCCCCAGAAGAAAGACCAGCATAAACACCTGGCCACACCATGTCTCCTGACCAGGAAGATCTGCAGGGCTTCAGTAGTATTAGGTCTCATTCAACAAACAGATAAGGCCATACCTAGTTAAAACTCCACATTCTGGCCAGGGACCCAACATTGCCCACTGCAGGCAAGGAGAGCCTGCAGACGCATGGTATGAAGAATAGAGCAAATAGCAGTGCATGCAGCACACACCAGAGACACTTCCTAAAGTGACAGGCCCTGGACATTTATGACCTCTTCTTCATAAGCTATTACTCTAGGGAGCAGGAAACATACAGGCTTGTAACACACAGAAGAAGGCAGAGACTTACACAAAATGCCATGACAGAGGAATTCATCCTAAATGAAACAACAAGATAAGGTCACAACCAGAGATCTAAGAAAGGCAGATATAAGTAACATGTCTGATGGAGAATTTAAAGCAAAAATAATAAGTATATTCTCTGGGTTTAAAAAAAGAATAGAAGAAGAGCACCTTGGTGGCTCACTCAACTAATTGTCTGACTCTTGATTTTGGCTCAGGTCATGATCTCATGGTTCATGAGTTCAAGCTCTGCATCAGGCTCTGTGCTGACAGTATGGAGCCTGCTTAGGATTCTCTCTCTCTCTCTCTCTCTCTCTCTCTCTGTCTATTTAAAAAAAAAACTCAAAAAAAATAAAAATAAAATGAATATTTTAAAAGAAAAGAAGAGAGGAGCGCCTGGGTGGGTCGGTCGGTTGAGCATCCGACTTCAGCTCGGGACATGATCTCGCGGTCTGTGGGTTCAAGCCCCATGTCGGGCTCTGTGCTGACAGCGCAGCCTGGAGCCTGCTTCAGATTCTGTCTCCCTCTCTCTCTGCCCCTTCCCCGCTCATGCTCTGTCTCTCTCTCTGTCAAAAATAAATAAACTTTAAAAAAAATTTTTTTAAAGAAAAGAAGAGATCAGTGAGACCATTACCACAGATGTAAAAGAGTTCAAAAAGAATCAATCAGAGATGAATAGTGCAATAAATGAGATTGGAAACAGGCTTGATGCAATGAATAGCAGAGTGGAAGAAGCAGAGGAATGAATTAGTGATAGAAGACAAAGTAAGAGAAATTAAAGAAGCTAAACAAAATAAGAAAGAATTATGCAACATGAGATAGACTTAAGGAACTCAATGACTGCATCAAATGTAATAACATTTGTATTACAAGAGTCCCACAAGAAGAAGACAGAGAAGAGGGGGCAAAACATTTATTTGAAGAAATAGTAGCTGAAAACTTCCCTAATTTGAGGAAGGAAACAGACATCCAGATCCAGGAGGCACAGAGAACTCCCATCAAAATCAACAAAATGGGGCCTCTGGGTGGCTCAGTCGGTTAAGCATCCAACTTCAGCTCAGGTCATGATCTCACGGTTTGTGAGTTCAAGCCCCGCATTGAGATCTGTACTGACAGCTCAGAGCCTGGAACCTGCTTCAGATTCTGTGTCTCCATCTCCCTTTGTCCCTCCCCCACTCACACTCTGTCTCTCTTTCTGGCTCTCAAAAATAAACAAACATTTTAAAAAATTTTTAAATCAACAAAAGCAAGCCAACAGCAAGATATATTGTAATTACATTTGGAAAGTAGAGTGAAAGAAAACATCTTTAAAGCAGCAAGACTAAAGAAGTCCTTAACTTACAAGGGAAAACCCATAAGGCTAGCTGGAGATTTCTCAATAGACACTTGACAAACCAAATGGGAGTGGCATGATATATTCAAAGTGCTGAATGGGGAAAACTGCAGTCAAGAATATTTTCCAGCATGGCTATCATTCAGAATAGAAGGAAAAATAGAGTTTCCCAGACAGACAAAAACCAAAGGAATTACTGACCACTAAACAGCCCTGAAAGAAATATTAAAGGGGATTCTTT